TGCTTTGTACGAATTGCTTAGAAAATATGCTTTTACCATATGATACGAAAATAACAATTTTTGGAATACAAGAAAATGTGAATACTTTATATCTAAATCTATCCCATGTAAAATATGAAAAAAAAAAGATTTTTTTTTTTTTAAGAACAAGTATGTCAGAAGGAAATCCGATGTGTATTTTATTGACCAAATTCTCTGTTTAAGATATTGTACGAAATAATTTATGAAATAATGACTATGTGGTATGTGCTTTGCTCATTGTTTGAAGGCCGTTCGGTGACTTATAATTAATAAATTTCTGTGGCATTTTGTCTCTTGTGAAGAGTTGTCTCATCGCCAATCAATCCACATCTTCCGCCCAAACGGTTCATGTATTATATAAGTTTGGTTGCATGAAGTAAAAATTTCTTTTTATATAGAATTCGTTTTTGTCCTGAAAGATATTGCTCAAACCATGGAAGTATTATATTGACAGGAACTCCAACAAGCGGACTTCAAACGTTTATAGTGCGATGCCGCAAAATCGTTAAGTATCTGTTAATTAACTCGACATGTCTTATGGATGCATGGGTTCCGATCAAATTTTTGGAATCTCGTGAATGATCGTAATTACGGAACATACCGAAATAACCGGATGTGTACTTAATTGTCAAGGAAATGACCTTTGCCGACCATGTGAATTACAAATATAATGTCAGTTTTTACGGGTTTTGCTGTAAAAAGACTAGCTACAACGTAGACCTATATGCACGTGTAGTTAATAAATTAAATAAAAAAAAAACTGTTATGAAACAGACACACATCTATCTATGATACTAGATACGAAATAAATAGCTAAAGGTCGGCCTCTGATGAGGGTTTACCTGGGAATACTCCCGAAAGAACCCGAAACATTGCATATTAAATTCTAAAGAATTAAGCAATAAAAAGTACGTAGTGTCATGTCAGAAATATTGATACCATACCATGAATAAGTGGGTTTATGGTCTTTTTATAAAACAAATACTAACAAGCCATAAACATTTCAGTTTAAGTTACAATCAATTTTAAAATAGTAAGATTTTTATTCATGAGAGGGCCGTTGGCTAAACACGCGTAACTGTTATATACATGTTAGGCTTGAAAATCATAAAATTCTCATGAAAAGTAAACGGAAAAGTTTTTATCAGTAATTATTATCGCGTTTTACTGCTAACTTTGACAAATATTTTACTGAAGTGTTTAAGCAGAAAGAATTTCCAATTAACAAAAATTTAATCCACTGAAAAGTTGGCCGGGGGGACGGGGTTAAAGAGCTTTGATCCGAAAAAATATCAAATATTTTGATTTATTGTTTACTGAAAGTCCAATGGCAAATATTTCATGCAATTAAACAAGAAACAAAAACATAAATTGCTTAGCATACGGTGTAAGATGTTTCAGAACTGTTCAGCTTTTAAACACATAAATAAATTCTAAAAATTTAAACTGCTTAGGGCCCATCATCATGGTGATCGTTCTTTAAATGCATCCAGAAATATTTAAAGCCATCTGTAAAAATTAAAGAGTAATCTCGGACTAGGTTGAATGTTTAAGGTTGTTTACAACTTCGGATTAATTATAAAAGGTGTAACAATTCATCTGCATGTCTCGTAACCTGATATTGCTATGTAGAGGTCATCACATGCGTGTAATTATTAACCTCTTTTAGTCTTTAAAACATATTTGATAAATAAGTTAATAACATTTTACGATAGAGAAAACCATAAATATTTGTGTTACACTCGATAAAAGTTTACAATCTTTAACTTAAAATTTGAGTTATCAGGCACCATCCGGCTCACTACACGCGCATCACATTATTTTCTGCAAAAGCACTACTTCAGAATCATGTAATTTTCATAATCGGATATTTCCCGATTTCCAAGTTCCAATGATTAAAACATACTCAACAAAACTAAAAATAAGCTTGCCCTCTTTCCGAATGCAGTTAATTTTCTTATGTCATTCTGTTAAATATGGACCGATTTTTTCGATCTTTTCAGCTTTGTTCTTCATTTATTGAACGGAAACAGGTGTTGTTATTCATGTGGCGATTCACAAATAACCACGGGAGTTTCCGTGTTTATTTACATTGGTAGGTAGATAAGACAATCGATACCAAATCACGTGATAAGACCAGCTTCACAGAATGGTTAAAAGAACAGGCGAAGGCGGCATCACAGATACCCCACAAAGGAGTTATCACGTACTTGACAAACTGAGTCGGAACCTTTTATTTTCTTAAAGAAATCAGTGGGATGGGAATGTGCTAATTTTTCGTTTGAGTTCCTGTCAATATAATACTTCCATGCTCAAACCAAGGATTTTTATACAAATCCTTGCTCAAACGTGTTATTTATATAATAATAAATTTTGAAAATGAACCATAGCAAACGCAAAAGAAATAAACACTGCAAACAGTTCATGTTTTAAATACGTCTGTTTACATTAGGATTATTATTGATTAAATAAGTTTTCAAGAAATATACAAATCCTTGATTCTGAAAAAAAAATTAATAAAATTTAAACAACTTATTCAGTGCGAAACTAAATCAAAATTGATCATTGAAATAATCTGAAACTGAAAAATAATTCATTTATTCGTATCTAACTTTTGGCAATTTTTTAGCGATAAAACTGTAAAATACTTGTTCCAAATTAAGATAACGGTGTAATCAGTTATGTAATTTGACACGTGTCTAACGGTTCATTGATTTTCGGCAATATCGAAGAAAAAACGGCACGTGTCTAAACAATGTTAAATTACTGATTTATTTGTGATTATTTTTCTACAAAATTTGAAATTTATGCATTAAATATCGATCTCTACCATAATATGAAAACAAATTACATGTAACAGCACCCCATCTAGTCCTTAGTGGCATATTTTAAGTCCTTAGTGCACTAAGGACTCCTTAGCAGTGTTTAGACGCACCCGCCAATTTCCCGTTTATTTTTTTTCGTTGTTTGGTTCACATGTTCAAATTTGATAAATTGATGAATTTAATAATTTATTGATATCCTAAATCTTTGTTAATATATTTACTTCGGTAGAAAAGAAAGTGAATCTTCTCATCGGGACTTTAATTATAATCTGCATATCTCATTATCTATTTTGGGATTGAAAAAAATATCTTTAAAAAATGCGGTTTCGAGCCTATTTCTTCATTTTAATTTGGTTACACGTTCAGCAATAACTGATACAAATATGATATATTACCGATGATAAGGCCATATATTTGAAGCTGTTCAAAATTTTGTACATGATAGCTGGGACTATTAAAAAAATAGTTAGTATAATAGTCCCAGATTATAGGTACGTGTATCAGATTGGACATTTTTTTTTATTGTTCTATATAAATAATCTTACTATAAGTTATCTCAGGTCTAAACAAAATGTTACTATGAGTTTTCTAATGAGTTTTGTTTGATAATTTTTTGTTTAATCAGTTAAAAGTTTGTTTTTTTTACACGAGAAGGTCTGCTAAAAAGTTTATGATGATCTCTTTTTTTTCAGCATAACAAACGGATACTCTTTAATGTACACTAGGTGGACTTTCCTCTATTCCGATGAAGGCAGTGCACGTCTTTCATTTAAAAGATTAAATCGTTGTTTTGCAAAAGACGGCGGCACATCGGGCATTGACTTACCATTTTATAATTTGTAACAATTATGATTAACCATATATTTATGAGTTGTAGCAAAATTATTTTTTATACATCTTTATTTAAGATGATCGAGATTTGAGAATATGAAAATAATAAAATATATATTACAAAAAAAAAGTTATCTCAGGTCTAGTTATCTAGTATAAAATATATTCACTGGAAATAAGCCCTTTAAAACACAAATCCCCGTTTACTCATTGCGAAGTTTATTTGCTAGTGTTTTTTTAATCTTTTTTTTTAATGATTTTATTATATTATCTTTTTTGTGAAAATTTTGAGTGGTTGAACATGGACACCGATGCTACAAAGAAAATTTGTTTAATGTCATCTGTTGCAATATATACTAAGTATTACACGTGGACAGGATGTTCCCCAGAAAATTAAGGTATTCAAAATAAGTTAAACACACCCCAAGGGTACACGCCACTGTCATATGGAAAATTACTGGGTCACCAGTAAACTGGTAATCAGCCATGCATGCAACTAATCAGTTGACTGACCATGCCACTACAATTTAAAAAGTATGTCGTAAGATCAAAATGAAATATTCATTTTAATTTAAAATTGAAGAACTAAAAGGATTTATCATAATTATGAAAGGAAATAATTCAATAAAATCGGATTATTTCCCAAAAGATTATATATTTTTTAAACTTTTTCCGGGGAAAATAGAAAACTGTATCAGAGACATATATATATAAAGGGTTCCATCAAGGATTTTATAGAAATCCTTGGTCTCATGAAATGGATCTCACACAGACATGCATAATTGAAATTTATACATTGATTGATTCTATGATTTCTTGAGAAATCAGGAGCGAAATATAACAAATATTTAGTTTTGATATTAAATTAAATTTACTTTTCGTCGCTATAATTCATTTGACATAACATTGAGGGATTTAAGGGTTTGTCCGTACAACGTTAGTATTTCACATGACTTATTTTCGCGCTTCGCCTTGAAGCTCATTATTCAGACTGTTTCAGACAAGATGATGAAAATAACATGCAAGGCACTTTTTTTTCGATCATCGTGAAGTGCACTCTCCCCCTCTTCAAGAATTGTATATTTATAAATCCTCGTCCTGTTTAAAATTACCACACTCTTTGTGATTACCGTTATGCTATTATGGTGGGAAAAATTTGGTTGATTATATAGTGAATCACTGAAGCATGACTGGAGCGGGCCCCCTTAGATCAGTCAGCGCCCCCGACCCCCCCCCCCCCCCCTTTACAAAAAGTTCTGGATCCGCCACTGTAATATATGTCTCCATTAAATCAGAGACATATATGTCTCTGATTAAATGCAATGATCGTTCACAAAAAGGGGAATCAAACCCCCGGATCCCATCCCCCTTCGATCCGCCACTGATTGTGAATATAAATATAATTGTTACTTAAAAGTCATAGACTAGTACGTACTAGCTCCGAGCACCTGTTTTGGGATATATACAGCTAATTAACCGTAAATAACTGCGAGATAATGAATAACAAGTTGATAATTGTCTATTCTCTGCTAATTAATGTACCTGCAATTCACCCTGATTCATTTGTGAGACCACCGACACTAATAATATTACCTCAAAGTTAGAGGTTCTCCGTTACTGGGAACTTCATATCGGATCCGATCAATTTATTGGTTCCATTCCCCCTAGTAATAATGATCCATTTGCAGTGACGATGACAATCAAAGGTATACTCATTACTGCAGGGCTGCCAAGTCACACATAATTATTTGGACTACTTCCATATGACTTTAAAAAAAACCAAACAATAGTTTATTTCACTGATTGAGATTGGACTGACGAGACATTTCAGCATGTGAAATCTTAATTGTTAGTCTAAGTACACAGTTATCATCCATTGATTTTCATTTTTTACAAAAAGATTTCCTAGTGTGGACCATGTATTACTTTAAAATTTATTTATTTATATTTTTTATGCATAAAAAGTAAGTACAATGAAGAAGGGGGATGAAATTATTTTATTTTAGTTTGAGAATCACTCATACTTCTTGTATGATGTCACCTTAGCCTACAAATTACCAAAAAGAAACACTTTTTTATTTCCTCTAGCTTATGTGTATGCCTTTTCATATACATGTAAAAATGTGTTACTGCCTATATATTGACCTTAAATGTTATTCAGTCTTCCATGGCCTAATGGGACCTTGTTCTACTCATGTGGTATGCTATAAGCAGATAAGTAACTTTCTTTCCTTTTGAAATACAAATAATTTTTTAAATATACATGAAGAATTTTTATATTAGCCGCTCCCCCCCCCCCCTTAATTTTGAAATCTCTAATTTTAGGCATAGGCTCATATAAATTCGACTTTTGAAGAATTGAAATAAATCTGAGACAGCAAATGAGTATTGAGCTGCTTTACATTAAAATACATTATGTACATACATGTGACATACACAATTATATATAAATAGTTATAAAGACATTTAAAAAGCATTTTTTTGCAATATTTCAATTATGTAGGCCCAAATTTTGATAGTTAAACGTTAAACTTTAAACGGCAAAAAATTAACACCCAAAGTTCAAACTTATAGTCTTTAATGTATATATGCTATTGCCATGAAACTAGGTAAACTGTCTTATAATTCTCTAATCTTAGTTCATGCCAAGTTTGATTAAAATTAGTATTTCTACTTTATTAGGTCTCTAGTGTGGATATAGTGTATAACTTGCAAATTATTTTCATACTCCTTCCAAATTTATTGCGGATGAATAACATTTTTACCAGATATCCGGAATCCTCTGGTTTTATCCATGCAGTGCCATTAAAAAATTTTGCCCAAAAACCCCTACTTTTCTTTTCATATTTTTATTACATAGTTTAAAAAGCCATATTTGAAAATCTTATAAAATCCTTGTTATTTTTCCATAGCTTTTGAAAGAAAAAGGTGCCAGTGTTAAGTGTATGAAAAATCTAGAGAGAATCACTTCCCGCCAAATTTTTAATGGCTTATATCTTAAAAACAAGCACACGGACCCTTCATTTTTTCTGTTTTTTTAGTTCCTTTATTCATATTCTTTTAAAAAGCTTGTTATTTTGAAACGGAGTAGCGAACATCCTTAAGGCCAAACAAAAATATATGTCTGTTTACGGTTACCCGACCGACCGTCCTTTTGAGCGCCGACCCTAAGTCATTTTATTTCCGTCGTAAAAGCAAAAATTAACTGAACTCGTGTCAAAAATGAAGTTTGTGTTGCCAATAATATAAATCAATTGCCTTATACATCCCAATGTTCACAATTGTGAATATGACAGCTGTTATAAGGAAATTCGTGACTCGTGATGAAATAAACACTTTGCCGCCATTTTTTCCCCAACCAATAACCAAGGGAAATAATCCAATCATTAACGGGTAAAATTGGCCAAGGATCAACTCAGACCACGACAAGACGAAACAGCATGACTCAAAATCATGTTGCAAAAAATAAAATGAAAAAATAAAATAAAATGGAAATACCGACCTACCTAGCCTTTTTTTTAAAGTATGTAACCTTAAACAGACATATATTTTTTGGGGCCTAAGTAGTGATTTGGTATAGTTTGAAAAGGTCAAATATAAGTATGTCTGTGAAGTTGTCAAACTAATTTAAAGACCCTTTAAACATAAAATTGTCCATATTTTGAGTTATAGCTTATAGATTTTTCTATTATGTTAATATGTCCTGTCCCAAAAGTAGTACACTACACTGTTAAAATCTCTTTTGGATAGAGCCAGCGCAATTTTTTAAATTTGCCTTTTTGCTCATTGTTCCGAAGGAACAGTGCGATTTTGCCATCACTTGGCGTCCGTCGTCGTCTGTCGTTGTTTTTCGTCAACCATTGGCGTCCGTCGGGTGTAAACTATTTCATACATCTTCTCCTCTACTGAACCAATTCCTACCAAACTTAAGCTGAATGATCTTTATGGTATATTTACAATAAAGTTTGTGTTTTGTTACATGGTTGTCATGGCTAAATATGAACATAGGGGTAAATGCAGTTTTTGGCTTTTATCTCAAAACCCAAAGCATTTAGAGCAAATCTGACACAGAGTTAATTGTTCATTAGGTATTCAAAGTTCTATCAGCCCTGAAATTTTCTGATGAATGTAATAACCCATTGTCATGATTGTTGGGTTGCTGTCACTTAATTGGTAATTTCAAGAAATATTTGCAGTTTTTGGTTATTATCTTTAATATTATTAATGATAAAGATAAACTGTAAACAGCAAAAATGTTCAGCAAAGTAAGATCTACAGATAAGTTTCTATAACCAAAATTGTCAATGGACCTCTTAAGGAGTTATTGCACTTTAACGACAATTTTACACAATTTGTTTATCATGTTTTCTAACTTTTAAAAATCTTCTCCTCTGAAACTACTGAACCAATTCCAACCAAACTGAGACTGAATAATCCTTAGGGTATTTAGAATAAAGCTTGTGTTTTATTTTCTGTTTCATCAATAAACATGGCTGCCATGTCTAAAAATAGAACATAGGGGTAAAATGCAGTTTTTGGATTATATCTCAAACACTAAAGCATTTAGAGCAAATCTTATGTGAGGTAAAATTGTTCATTATGTCAAGTTCTATCAGCCATTAAATTTTCAGATGAATCTAACAATCCATTGTTGGGTTGCTGCCACTAGATTGGTAATTTTAAGGAAACTGCAGTTTTTATTTTGTGGTCAAAATATTGGTATGACGTTGACGTTGGCGGCGTCATCGTCGTCCAAAGACACATTGGTTTTCACACTCTAACTTTAGTTGAAGTTAATGGATCTCGATGAAATTTTGCCTTAAGGTTCAATACCACAAAAGGAAGGTTGGGATTGATTTTGGGGGTTATGGTACCAACAGTTAAGGAATTAGGGGCCAAAAATAAGCATTTTTGTAACTTCCGGACATAACTTGTGTGTTAGTGTATGGATCTCTCTGACATTGTACCACAAGATTCCATATCACAAAGGGAATGCTGGGATTGATTTTGGGGGTAATTGCCTCAAAATTTTAGGAATTAGGGGCCAAAAAAAAGGGGTAAAAAACAAGCATTTTTCTAGTTTCATGACAATAACTTGTGTGTAAGTGTGTGGATCTTTCTAAAATTGTACTACAAGGTTCCATATCACAAAGGGAAAGCTGGAATTGATTTTGGGGGTAATTGCCCAAAATGTTTAGGAATAAGGGGCCAAAAATAAGCATTTTTCTAGTTTCCAGACAATAACTTGTGTGTAAGTGTATGGATCTTTATGAAATTGTACTACAAGGTTCCATATCACAGGGGGAAAGCTGGGATTGAGTTTTGGGGTAATTGCCCTAAACGTTTAGGAATTTGGGGCCAAAAAGGGGCCAAAAAACAAGCATTTTTCTTGTTTCCAGACAATAACTTTGTGTTCAAGTGTATGGATCTCTCTGAAATTGTACTGCAAGGTACCGTACCACATAGGGAAGGCTGGGATTGAGTTTGGGGGTGATGAATCATCAGGGGGTTCAAAAAATTTGGGGGGATTTTGTTTACTTTTTTTCTTTTTGTTTTCTTTAAAATTTTCCATTTTAAATTGGTTATTTCTGATTTATATATATAAGCAAATAATAATGATACGGTTTGAAAAGGTAAATTAGAAAGGAGTAGGCCCAGTAAGACCCGTTTTTGGCCCCAAAATATAGCAGTTTTACAAAATTGTTAAAATGTAAATTTTTAGCTATTTATTGGAAAGAAGAATACTTCTGTTACATAAATATGGGCTGTTTTTGACAATACAATGCACATGTATCGGGTACTAGCATCATTAAGTCATGCTAAATTACTGAAATCTTCGAAATTTTAGCATTTTGGTTAATTTTTAGACGGTTTCCGTCTGAAATGGAAGTGGCCGCATTTGTGTTCATTCTTAATATTTAAATGTAAGTTGTATTTGATGATAATACATAACATATATAAAGGTTGAGAATGAACACGGATGCGGCCACTTTCATTTTTGACAAAAACCATCCAAAAAGTGACATATTATGGCATATTTGGTAGATTTTTCATATTTAAGCTTGAATTTGAGCGTCTTTAGTGACTAAATCAGTTCAAATCTTTCACATTAACTGATTGAATCGACTGAAGTAGACACTTAAGTGTTTAAAAAGTGTCCAAAATCTTTCATCAGATGAACTTGAATTTTGAGGCCAAAATCGGCCCTTACCGGACCTACTCCCTTTTAAGTTCTTAGACCACATTCATTTTGTGAGCCTCTTGTTTTAATTGCTTCTGTAAGTAATATATTAATTTGAAATTTTGACGACAGACACATACAGATTATACTGTTAACAATATTTCAGAGTTTAATGTTGTCAAGCACACAAATCATAGAAGAATAGTTAATCACGTCATTGTTGTCCATTGAAAAATTAGTATGAACACGATGAAAAAGTATGGGAATGTTTGTTTGTTAAACTATTGACCGTGGTTATGTCTTTGAAACTGTTGACTGGCAAATAGTCTGTGAAATGAAATAGCACAAATATTTCATTCTTTTTTATATCATGGTATATAGAAAAACACATACTGATGTATAATAATAGTTATAGTGACTGTCATTAAATTATAGTTTTTACCTTTTTTAAGTTTAGGGCAAGAAATATAGAAGATAAAGAAAAATATAAACAATTACAACTGTACAGTAGAAATGATCGGCAAAACAAGATAAACAGAAGACAACAAGGCCTAAATGGTAAGACCACTTCTATATAATAAAAGTGATTGCCCTTGAATGATGACTATTATAAAAATAAGAAGATGTGGTATGGTAAATGAGTTATCTATTCACCAGAGTTCAATGAAGTGGATGCAAGCAATTAAAGACCAATGACGGCCTTCGATAATCATGATAATGAGAAAACCCATACCTTATAAGTCAGCCAATAAAGACCCCAACATGAAAAGATTTAAACAATCCAAATTAGTTCAAAGCCAATAACAAGTAATAAAAAAATCATGTCTGTGAGCACTCCACCTAACCATAATCTAGGACAGTGGTTCAAATAGCACAACATATGAACAAACTGTAAAAACTGTTGCAAGTGGCTCAACTCATTATCACTGCAAGGCACTAAAACGACTGATATTAAGTCGTGGACACAACGCACTGAAATAACAGAACTCATAATCATGATTAGTAGGAATATCAAATTTAAGTTTCTCAAAATGTTCATATTAAACATGATAAAATAAGCTTATTTCATATTGCTGTTTTTTTCTCAATTTATATTTTGTGTATTTATAGGTGCAGAGACTTCTTGGTTTTCATGATCATCAACAGATCAATACAGAAGAGGAAACTTAAGGTTAATACTTTTCTACATTGTGTGCTAATTGGATTAATGTGAAATGAAATGTGTGCTTACCTGGAAAAAGAAAATAGGAAATTTCTACAAAATGGCTGTAAACAAAATGGAGTTCAATCATAGATGCACAAGAACACAATTGTGTAATTGCAACAACCTACACTGAAGGATTAGGGAGAAATGTAGAAAAAATAGTATTTTTTTGTCGAAATAAACACCTGCTTTATCCATTCATGTACATAGCTCTGTCATATCAACTATATAGAGGAAGATGTTTGAAGAACAAATTGCAAAAATGTATTCTCTACCAATTGAAGGAAGATGTCTGGTGGATGGAATTATTTATGCACTGAACTGTTTTTAGGGGATTGAATAATTGTACGCAGCAGAAAAGTTAAATTAACATGAACATTGGTTATTTTATTTAATCCGCAAATATGAGCACAATATTAATAACATCACAAATAGTATGATATTCATAGCGTTTTGCTTATTATTGTATTGTCTCAAACAGCTAGCCCATTGTTTTTGTATGTCATGTTACTCATCAGTGAACATTTTATTAAAGTTTTAATTATCTTTTGTATCAATTATTCAGTCTCAGGAAAAATTATATTCATACTGTTATTACCGTTATGAAATTTTCATAGAGGAAAATTGAATTAGAGAAATTTCCATAGAGGAAATTTGGAGAACAATGTTTTCCTTAGAGGAAATTTGTGGTCTTGAATTTTCTCTCAAGGAAAAGTGTTTGTCAAAAATTTCCTCGCAGGAAATTGCTGTTGACAAAATTTCCTCACAGGAAAAAGTATTTCCTCAAAGGAAAATTTGAAGCCGCAAATTTCCTCACAGGAAAAAGTATTTCCTCAGAGGAAAATTTGAAGCCTCAAATTTCCTCAGAGGAAATAGAATTTCCTCAAAGGAAAATTTGAAGCGACAAATTTCCTCACAGGAAATGGAATTTCCTCAAAGGAAATATTAATGCAGCAAATTCCCTAAGGGAAATCTTTTTCCCTTGAGGAAAATACAATTTCCCTGAAGGAAAAATCTTTTTCCTTCAGGGAAATTTGATTTCCCTTGAGGAAAACTACTTTTCCTCTGAGGAAATTGTTGAAAAAAGGGGCATAACTTTTTCAACAGTGGTGCTAGAGACAAAAATTTTTAGGACAAATATCAGGGAACCAATACCAACCAAGTTATCAACTTCATTTTGACTTAACTCCAAAAATAAAGGTGACAACTTTTGCACTCAGCGGAAGTGCAAACTTGTCCCGGAGACTGTTCTATGCTCGTGTCAGAAACTCCAGTCTATATGTTAGATCCTGAAATAACAAATACAAATCAAGTACCATCACCTGGAATAATTGACCTCACAAAATACATTATGAAAAAAGACATTATGTTGTCAAGAATGTCACAATTTGACGACAAGCAAGAAAAGTACTGTAGTTGGAAGAGAAGTTTCAAAAACATTATGAAAGAACTTGACGCAACCAGCTCAGAAGAATTAGATCTGTTGAACAAATGGTTTGGCCCGCAATCAAAGAAACAGGCATCAAGCTTAAGAGTCGCAAATGCTCATGATGAAACTAGAGGCTTAGAGAAAATATGGAAGAGGCTCGATGTGAGGTATGGAGCACCTGAAAGTGTAGCCGCCTCACTCAAAGAACGCTTGGACAGATTTCCTAAAATTAAAAACAATGAATACGATAAATTGTATGAACTCTCAGACCTTTTGTCTGAAATCGAATCAGTTAAACAGAATGAAAAATATCAATTAGTTTTGGCGTACTTTGACGCTTCATATGGAGTGAATGAAATTGTAACAAAACTGCCATATTTCATGCAGACTAGATGGATTGACCAAGCCAGCAAGTACAAACTCAACAATTCAGTGGTGTATCCACCATTTAGAACATTTGCAGAATTTATTCATTCTTTAGCAGTAAAGATGAACGACCCAAGTTTTAAGTTTCAACAGACTGAATCAGGTAGTAACCGAAAAGACCCTGAAAAGCAGAAGTTTAACAACAGAAATCCAACAAATAGAAATGCACTAAATAGACAAGTATTAAACACAAAAAAGACTAAAGTAGAAAATCAGAACTCAAATGACCTTAAGTGTCTAGTACACGAAGAAGGGAAACATAGTTTAGTAGAATGTCGATCATTTCCTACCAAACCCCTTGCAGAAAAAAGGGAGATAATAAAGAAACATGGTATTTGCTTTAAATGTTTAAAAGGCAAGCATCTGGCTAAAGACTGTTCAGCAAAGGTTAATTGCGAAAAATGTGGAAACTCATCACATTGCACAGCGTTTCACATTGAACGTCAGGAACCATTGTTAGATAATGGCGGGGAACGAAAGAAGATAGACGAGGATACCCCGAAAGTAGGATCATTATGTACAGAAATTTGTGGCGACGCAAATCAGTTTAATGGAAAGTCATGTGCAAAAACATTACTGATAAACCTATATCCAAAGGGAAAAACAGAACAACGTGTAAAAACATATGCGATAATTGACGACCAAAGTAACAGGTCTTTAGCTACCTCTGAATTTTTTGATACTTTCAGCGAACACTATGATACTATACAATATACCTTGTCAACGTGTTCAGGAAAATCTGCACAGTCTGGGCGTCGTGCCACAGGATTCATACTTGAATCATTCGATAGAAATACTAAACTCAAGTGCACATCATTAATAGAGTGTAATGACATTCCAAATTCCAAACAAGAGATAGCTACACCTGCTGTAGCCAGACAGTATAGTCATCTAGAGTCAATAGCAGAATTTATCCCTGAATTGGACCATGACGCCAATATTTCACTGCTTATAGGAAGGGACATGATAAGTTGTCATCACATTTTGGACCAGATGATTGGTAAAGATCATGAACCATACGCTCAGCGCCTACGGTTAGGATGGACTATTATTGGAGAAGCATGTCTTTGTCTAGTGCATACATCTGATGTCATAACCGTCAACAAAACATCAGTTTTACCAAATCAGGAATTAACCTTGAAACCTTGTGAATATAACTTTAAGGTCAAGGACACAAAACTAGAACAAAAATCTGTTTATAGTGATATATTTGAACAGATTGTAGAAGATAATGAAGTAAGATTATCCCGTGAAGATAAGGAGTTTATAACCATTATGGAAAATGGAGTACGGAAGGAATCAAATGGTAACTTCAGTGCACCTCTGCCTTTTCGCAAAGATGGTACAACACTAAGTAATAACTATGAACAAGCACGAAAAAGAGCAGAAAACTTGGAAAGAAGTCTAAAGAGGGACCCGAAAAAGTTAGAGGATTTTCTTCAGTTCATGGAAAAGATACTTAAGAACAACCATGCAGAATTGGCACCCCCTATCAAGGATGGAGAAGAAGTATGGTATTTGCCCATTTTTGGGGTCTACCATGCTAAGAAACAGTCTAAAATACGGGTAGTTTTTGATTCGTCGGCAAAGTACCATGGGATATGTCTAAATGACGTACTGCTTAAAGGACCAGACTTAACAAACAATCTAGTTAGTGTATTATCAAAGTTCAGAATAGGACAGTTTGCAGCTATTGCTGATGTGGAACAGATGTTTTTTAACTTTGAAGTTCAAGAGAATCACAGAAACTTTCTCAGATTTATTTGGTTTAAAGACAATGACATTGAAATGCCACTTGTAGATTTTAGGATGCGAGTCCATGTATTCGGAAACTCTCCGTCTCCATCAGTTGCAAATTATTGTTTACGAAAGGCGGTTTGTAATCACGAAGGAGAAGAACCGTGTGACGACGTATGTAAATATGTGAAAGAACAGTTCTATGTTGATGATGGACTTCTTTCTAGCGACAGTGAAAAAGACATTGCTAGTCTTATTAAAAGAACACAGGATAGACTAATGACAGGTGGTAATATTAGATTACACAAAATCTTATCGAATAGTAACAAAGTGCTTTCTAGCTTTCCACAAAAAGACTTAGCAAAGAATATTACAGAAACAGACTTTGATTCTGACAAATCTTGTTTACAGCGTAGTGTAGGCCTAAGCTGGGACGTCATTCGAGACATATTCACATATCAGCTATCAGCAGATGAGAAACCTTACACAAAAAAGGAGTACTCTCAGTCATAAATGGAATTTTTGACCCTATAGGTTTTGTAGCGCCTTTAATCCTAGGAGGGAGATTAATTATGAGACCAGCTTTACAGAACGCCAGTGTAGAATGGGATGATCCATTACCAGAATATTTGATGAATGATTGGCAGATCTGGAAACAATCATTAAAGGACTTAGAAACATTAGAAATCCAAAGATCTTTCACTGAAACATCTTTAGGCGACAGTTCAAAATGTGAACTCCACATTTTTTCAGATGCATCCAAAGACGCTATAGCCTCTGTAGCTTACATTCGCACATTCAATGACAATTGACATTCTCAGTTCGGATTCGTATTAGGAAAATCAAAATTAGCACCTAACCATGGTCACACCATACCCAGACTTGAGTTGTGTGCAGCCGTTCTAGCAACAGAACTTGCCACCTTCATTCAGAAGACTCTTGAGATACCTTCATCTGCCACATACTTTTATACACACAGTCAAGTGGTCCTAGGTTATCTATATAATGAGACTAGGCGATTTTACGTGTATGTTAGCAATCGAGTTGACCGAATTCTGAAGGTTTCTACAAAATTACAATGGAATTATGTGCCAACAAGCTATAATCCAGCAGATCATGGTACAAGACCATTGGAAGTTAACAGTTTAAGACAATCAGAATGGTTAAAAGGTCCAAATGCCTTTTTTGCGTCCCAGAATTTATCAGATAGCACACTGTTTGAAGTCATAGAACCAGAAGTCGACAAAGAAGTCAGACCATTAGTGGAAGTAAAAAAGACATTTGTTAAGTCATCAGGTCTAGACATAAGTTTATTTGAACATTTTTCAACATGGACAAGTCTTGTCAGAGGTATCGCATTTCTTAAAAGAAAAGCTTCAATGTGGCACAAAGATGAGACTGATGGAAAGAACAGTAAGTCTTGCGTCACCTTCATGAAGGAGACTGAGAAGTTTATCATAAAGGAAGTACAACAAGACACATACTATAATGAGATTGACTGCTTGAAGCAAAGAAAACCTTTACAAAAGAACAGTAGTTTAATTGCACTTTCACCAGTATTAGACTCCTATGGATTACTTCGAGTATGAGGAAGACTTAAAAATTCAGACATAGAAAGTTGTGAAAAAATGCCTGTCATAATACCAGGTAAAAGTTACATTGCTACATTAATAGTCAAGCACTGTCACAATGCTGTTCAGCACATGGGAAGACATTTTACTGAGGGAGCAATTCGTTCAAGA